ATTGATTTGATTATACAGTAATATCATACCTAATTACCTGTTTTTATCATTATTTCTTGTAGTATTTTCATTAATCCTTCAACCATTTGTTTGTTATATTTTAATACTTTTATTTAATGTGATTTTACTTATATTTTATAACTATTCGATATTGTACAATTAATAATTCACAACACACTACTCATTTTTCTATTCTTATTGTGTTATACATAACAATGTTAAACTCAAAAACAAAAGAAATACTGTTATTTAAAAATGAAACACAACAACACTGAATGGATTAATTGTCATAATAATGATATTGATGAGGATGAAGAAGAAGAAATGATCAGTAGAGCACAAGACTACTATTTTGAGGCACGATATGATGATGCAATAGAAATATTGAACAATATAGAAAAAAAGGATGGAGCAATTTATCAAATGATTGTGATGTGTTATTGTGAGAAGAAGGAATATCAAAAAGCATTTGAAAGTTCAAGAAAATGGAGGGGTATTGCTAAACGAGACACCGCATTACAGAGCAGAAAAGCATTAATGAATACATCATATTTGTGTGATGAGAAAGAGACTATGAGAGAGGTGAGTGATAAAATGATACAATGGAATGAGGGATTGATTGATGTAATGTTGTTAAGATTAGACATGTTTCCTGATGAGAAAGACACCATCATTGCTACAATTGAAAATAAAATTAAGACAAATGAAGTGAAAGAAGAAGAAGTGAAAATACTCTCAGAAATGTTAAGCGTGCTCAATGAGAACCAAAACAAAGGAAATGACTATATGAATGAGATAGGAGAACAGGCATATACCTATGGAGTATTAACTAAAGTAGTGATGCTTATCAATGGAATTTGTGATAATGACAAAACAGAATGTCTTACAATGTGGAAAAGTCTTGAGAATAAAAATAACCAAATAATTAATTCAATTAGAATGTTGGAAGGAACATTTGTTGCAGAACATGGAATTCATATGGTACTTAGAAAACATGGGAAAATGAAAGAAGAAGTTGAATAAAATAATTGAAAAGTGAAAAAGAAATTGAAATGGTTTAAGGAAAGAAAAAAACGAGAAAAGAAAGTGATAAAAGAAGATGAAAGAGAAAATAAATACGATGAAAGAAATAACAAAAACATAATGAAAGCAATCAAAGAAGCTATTGGAAGACTTCAACAAAGAGTTGATGAAGAAACAATCAAAGAGGTTAAAATACAAATTGAAAGTATTAATGTTAAAGAAAGTGACCAAAGCACACTCAAAGAAATTCGAGAAGAAGGAAATGAACTATGGAATAATGTAGTTAGAAAGCAATGTGATATGAATAAACAAAGTGAAATGAGAGAAATAGCATGTTTATTAGTTGAGAAATATCAAGTAGAAAATGACTTTACACTTATCAAAATGATTGGAAAAACAGCTAAATGTTATGAAGAGAAAGGAGAAAAAGAGAAATCAAAGAAGATGTATAGAAAAGCAATTGATAAATATAAAGAAACAGAACGAAGTACTACCACAAATACACAACAAATAGAAAGGAATAAATGTGGGAAATATTTATTTACATTAGGAATGATTTCATCATGGAATAATGGAGAAATAGAAACAGCATGGATATATTATCATAAACTTAAAGAAATTAATGAAAGTCTAGATGAAAATGATGAAGAAATTCAAAGAATGATATTTAATAAAGCAAAAGAATTATTTGGAATAGGAGCATATCAAGGAGCAATAGATTGGATGAAAGAATATCTTATGATGAAAGGAAATAATAAAGAACAACGTAGTGAAGGATTTTCAATAATTAGTAGAAGTTATCTTGAACTTGGAATGAATGAAGAAGCGATGAAGAGTATTGAGAAAAGTATTGAAGAAGAAAGGAAAGAAGAAAATGAAATAATAAGACTTAAATGTATGATTAAAACAAGAGAAGAAGAAGAGATAAAACAAGTATTTAAAACAAATATTACAATGCCAAATATTAGTAATGATACAAAAATAAAGATGTGTGAAATTCTTGAAGAGAAAGGAATGAATGAATTAATACTATTTGGATATGAAAGTATAATGACAAGTATAATGAACAAAGAAGAAATAGAAACAAGAATATATTATCAAGTTATCAAAAAATATCTTGACTTTTTATTTAAAATGAAAAGAATTAATATGATAACAGCACAAGATATTATTGATAATGTAATAGATAATATCCAAAATAAGAAGATTGAGATTATAGAGAAAGAAATCTATTCAATCATATCTATTATTTGGGAAAGAGGGATTAATGATTGTATAAATAAAAACGAACGTACAGGAAAAGAATGGTTTAAAAAAGTTAGAGAAATTATGGAAATTAGTCGATGTAATGAAGAAATTGGAGAAATAAATAAAAATATTAGTATTTGTGAAAATCAAATGAATAATTATCATGAAGCAATGAAAAGTGCACAACAAGCAATAGAAAATGGATGTAATGATCTTCAAGCAGATTTTATTTTATTTTCATCATATCTTCATTTACATATGAAAAAAGAAGGAAAAGAAGTTATTGAGAAAGCAATGAATAAAAGTAGTTTAAATCAACATAAAATTGAATTTCTTGAAACATGTTGTAGTATTTGTGAAGAAATGAAAGAAATAGAAATAGAAAATGAATGTTTAAGAAAATTATTTGAACAACTTCCAGGAGAAAGTAAGAAAGGAACAGGAATTATTGTATTTCGGCAAATAATGAAGAAAGGATGTGATGTTAATATTATTAAAAGATTCATTGAAATGGTTAAAGCAAATCAAGAAGAAGTTATTGGAGAAGAAAAAGGAGAAATAGAATGGAGTTTAGCTTATTTAAATAATAGAAGTAAAGAAAGTTATAGTAGAAAAAAGCATGAAGAGTGTTTATATTGTTGTTATTTGTATAATATTCTAAGTAAAAGTAAGAAAGAATATGAAGAAATGTATGAGAATCGAATAATGATTTGTTTATTAGGTGCATCAAGTGGAGTAGAAGGAATAGGAAAGAATGTAAATAAAGAAATAGAAGAAATGAAAGAAGAAGCAAAAAGATGTCTTGAAGAAATAAGAAGAAAAGGAATTAACACAATAAATTCTATTGAAAAACTTGAAACAACAATAATCACTGTTGAAGTCAAAATAAGTATTATTAAAGAAGAAGGAATTGATGAAACAATTACAAAATTACTTAAAACAAATACAAATAGTTCAGTACTTGAAATGATTGGGATGAGTTGTATTGAAAATGGATATAAAACATATGGAATTCAATGTTTAAAGAATGGGATGTCAGTGATATGTAAAAGAAAAGAAGTTGATGGTGTTCGATTAGCACGAATTATTCGAGAAATCATACAAGAAAGTGAAGATGAAGAAATACTTGAGATGATAGATAAAGCAATAACAATGATTAAAAGTACTGATGGAATATACCCAAAGAAAGAAATTGAGTGGTTAATGGGAATTAGTTGGAACAAAGGAAATCAAAGTAGATATAAACAAGATAATAGAAGAGCAGAAGAATGGTACAATAAAGCACTAATATTGAGTGAAAATATAGAAAGAAGAGATGATATTACAGAAAAGATGAATAAAGAATATCAAATATTCATAAATGAAATAAATAAATGAAATATTTTTAATAAAATCATAAAAATAAGAAGATAAGAAGAAACAAATAAAATAATTAAATGAATGAAAAGAATAAGTTTCAAATAAATATAAAAAACAATAAAATAAGAAGAATAAAAGAAAGAATAAACAATTAATTAAGTGTTAATAGAAATGTTTCTATTATTTCTTGTTCATCAAAAACTAATCAATTCTATGAATCTTCTTCTATACATTCTCCAGCATATATTTGATTTTGAAA